AAAAAAAAATTTTTTTTTTTGAGTTGGAGTCTCACTCTGTCGCCCAGACTAGAGTGCCGTGGTTGCTCCCAGCCACCGCAGCCTCGACCTGCCGGGCTCCGGCGATTCTTCCGCCTCAGCCTTCCAAGTAGCTGGAACTACAAGCACGCGCTACCACACCCGGCTAATTTTTTGATTTATTGTAGAGATGAGGTCTCGCCAAGTTACCCAAGAGGGTCTCCCAGAAGGAACTCTATACTACTTACAATGAGGAGACCCCCAAAAAACCAGAATTATCTTTTGGAGGGTGGGCACCTTGTAGTACAGGTTTCCCCCACTAAGTAAGTGTTCTAGGAACCCATTGGCATCAATATACCAGCTAGAGTTGTTGTGAGAGGCTGCATTCAAATTCAGTGAATTTTTGTTTTGTTTTGTTTTGGTTTTTGTTTTTTCAGTTGGGGTCTCACTCTGTCACCCAGACTGGAGTGCAGTAGCACACCGGCCACTACAGCTTCGACCTGCTGGGCTCCGGTGATCCTTTCGCCTCAGCCTTCCAAGGAGCTGGAACTATAGGCGTGCACTACTATGCCTGGCTAATTTTTGATTTATTGTAGAGATGAGGTCTCACCAAGTTGCCCAGGTGGGTCCCAAACCTGTGGGCACAGGCAATCTACTCGCCTCCGTCTCCCAAAGCACTGGGATTACAGGCTGAGCCACTGAGCCCAGCCATTCTGTGAATTTTTTTTGGAGATTCTTTCAACACCTTTGCCCATTTCATGATGGGTGATTTACTGGCATACCTGCCCTTACGGTGCTAAGTGTTCAGCAGTTTCTGACCAAAAATAAGGCAAGATCTGGTGCCCCGCCCTTCCTGTTCACCTGATCTTGCCCCAAATGACTTTTGTTTGTTTCCCTTGATGAAAGAAGCCCTTAAAGGGAAACATTTTGCCGATATGAAGAGGTAAAACAAAAACCAGCAGAAGCACCACAAGGCATCAAAATTGATGAGTTCAAAACTGTTTTGAACAGTGGAAGAAGCAACTCGATAGGTGCATTGCATCAAATGAAGAGTACATTGAAGGTGACTGCAATTTAAACATGTAAGGTTAAACACACAATTTTTTATAAATTTCATTTTGGGGGAGGGTCCCCTCATATTTTTCCATATTTGCCTAGACACAACTACACGAGTTCCTTCATATACTACTTGGAGCGTCATTCTCAAACACTTTTGCTTTTGAATTTGCAGGGATACTAGCTCTGAAACCCCCAAAAGGGAGATCAGGCTAGCTTTTGGTTACTGAGTGATAAGGTAGAACAAGGAGAGACATTGTGCTCAAACTCATGGGAATTGAGTGTCCAGCACTCAGTTTTGTGGTGGGAGCTCCACTCATCTCCTGCTTGGCCCTCAGAAGGTCAGGGGGTGATCTGTCAGCTGATTCTAAGCAGTGTGGCGTACGGCTTGTTGGTGACTTCTTTCCCCACTCTAGCCCTGCTCTCCATGCTTGTAGCCTCTGCTGAGCAATGATCGACAACAGCGAAGTCACATATTTTATTTTACATTCCATCAGTAGAGCTGGTAGACAGAGAACGTGAAGTAGAAGAGCAAAATTACCCTTTACAATTTCTATGTGACAGCCTATATACCCAGAAGATAATCATTTAACTCTATTTTACTGTTTCTTTCTTATAAAAATAACTTCTTTCTCTTAGGAAAAATTGCTTATCAAATACAAAGTATCCCAAAAAAGTCTGAAGACACCCAGAGCCCACCACTGAAACATAAGATTTTTTTTTTCTTTTGAGTCGGAGTCTCACTCTGTTGCCCAGGCTGGAGTGTAGTGGCATGACCACAGCTACTGCAGCCTCAACCTGCTAAGCTCAGGTGATCCTTCTGCCTCAGCCTCCCAAGTAGCTGGAACCATAGGCTCATGTCACATGCCCGGCTAATTTTTTTATTTCTTGTAGAGGTGAGGTCTCACCAAGTTGCCTAGGCTGGTCTCGAACTCCTGGGCTCAGGCAATCCTCTCACCTCAGCCTCCCAAAGTGCTGGGATCGCAGGCTTGAGCCACTGTGCCTGGCAAGACTATTCTTTTCTTTTTATTTTTCTGTCACATTTTCATTACTTTTATAATCAGAGGAGATATTTTAAGTAAAATTCTCATCCAGGTTTTTAAAAAATGGAAAATTAACCATTGCATACAATAGTGCATAGCATGAAAAAGGTGCTATGGCCTTGCTGTCTGTCACCTGACTTTGAGAAGCAAGACAGTCTCTGGATTTCAGATCCTTACCTGCAGTTATGAAATGGGGACATCAGATCCCAAGAATCTTTTCTCCACTCAGACATCTGTGATTATAGCACATGACATGGTCTTCAACACTTATGTGGGGTTACACAGCTGACATCTAGTCCAGATGAGTATTATTTGGGGGTTCATGGTTAGATTCCAGAGTGTGTCATCACCACACTTGAGTGGAAAATGTGTGTGTACCACAAATTTCTACTCTTCTCTAGAAGAAGGGTCCATCACATTCATGACGTTCTCAAAGAGTATGTTCTCATTTAATGGATAGACACCCTCCATCCAGAGACATGAAGAGATACTCCTGGGCTGTTCTTGGCGATCTGGAGTGCTTGGTGGGTCAGTGTTCTTAACTCCAAGCCCAGTGCCCTCCCCCATGGCAATGACCCATCTTGGATTCCTCTCCCAAGTGTATGATGGAAATACCTACTTAGACTCTCTCTCCATCTGGCCTAGGTCATCAAGGCCATGGGGGCGTACAGTGGTCTCTCTTAGCTTCCCCCTCCCCATGCCTTCAGGCAGCCCTTTCCCCCACAGTAAGGGCAATGTCATGAGGCAGAAAGTAAGTCTAGGCTCACAGGATCAGGGTCCTTGTTTTTACTTGTGCGTGTCTTAAAGAACTTCCAGCTCTCCATGTATTTTATCCTTCTCACCAAAGGTAAGATATCTGGTCTTCTCCCAAGGCTTGATTAAATAGTGTAATATGTCAGTGTCTGATGCAAAAGGAAACTCCTCAAATTAACACTTCAAAGGCTGAAGGGTAAATCCAGCTGATGAAGAGAGTGAATTTAGGTGTCTCTCTGCCATAAAACAAAACAATGGTTTTTGTTTTGTTTTGTGGAGTCAGTCTCACTCTGTCGCCCAGGCTGGAGTACAGTGGTATGCTCACAGCTACCACAACCTTGACCTGCTAGACGTATGTGATTCTTCTGCCTCAACCTTCCAAGTAGCTGGAACTACAGCTCACACTACCATACCCAGCTAATTTTTTGATTTATTGTAGAAACGAGGTCTCACCAAGTTGCCCAGACTGGTCTTGAACCCCTGGGCTCAGGCAGTCCTCTCACCTCAGCTTCCCAAAGTGGTGGGATTACTGGCGTGAGCCACCACCTCGCCCATCGAAACACAACAAGCTTGAAAAGATTGTGCAATGGGAACACTGTGGTATTTGTGCTGAGAAATCATCACACAAAACCTTGTATCCGAAACTCAGTGACCTTTTCTAAGCAGCCCCAGCTGAACATGAGAAGGCAAATACTGCCAAATTGCCTGACATTTACTTTTTTAAATTTCTAGCGTTCCTGATTTCAAATCGGCTATTGATCTGTCGGTTTGTAGCTCCGATGCAATTGGATGAAGTCCCATTCGCTGCTGTTAGAGTCTAACAAAAGCAACTGCTTTGAAACCCCCACACCCTGCCCCATGTCTCCTCCTTTCCCACTCTCCACCTGATACTCATCCCCAAACCTATCAGCCAGCTTGCAGGAAAGAGCAAGTCACTAAACCTGAAATGAGAATCTTCAAAGTTGAGTTGTGTACCATTGTCCTTAGTCCATCTTTAAAGATCAAACTTATTTGTTCACTTCTTACTTTAAATTCTTCTTGGCAAAAACTACAAAAAGCCTGTAACTTGAAGGGAGGGTTTGCTCTGACTACAATCAGTCAGCCAAATGTAGTTTGGAATTCAGTGGGCGGGGGGTGGGGGGTGGTCTGATCTCCACCTAGAATGGGCATTGAGGGCACATGAGAACCAGGGGGAGAGCAAAGATTTCAAGGTGCTGCTCTGGGATCACTGTGTTGAACAGGTCTTCAAAATGGTCCCATTCATCTGCTTGAAAAGCCACAGAAGGCATGTGTGCGGTAGGGGTGTGTGCGTAGCTGAAGCTCAGACCTTGAGAGTCACACAGGTTGAGATTCTGAAAGTGTATGGGGTTCCTTGTTAATCTGTTGAAGAATATTCTTTCTGACTCCAGTTAACGTGAGAGACGTGACTGGGAAAGATATTTGGTTGGATTCCTGGTTTGTCTTTCCACAGAATCGTTTGTCAGAGTTCTGGTTCTGCTCCCGAGAGAAGGCCTGGTAGCACGTGAGAAGCATCTGTCTGGCCAATGCAGTCTTTTTGGGGGGCACCGAGGAAGGAGGAACTGGCCAGAAAGTCAATGGGCCAGCTTTATGGAGAGACTTTTTTTTTTTCTTGATGTTTTCTTAGTGCTCAGCTCCCATATGTTGGTCTGTCAGTCTGTGTGTCGTGTGTGCTGCAATTTGGAAGACTGAATTGTGAAAAAAATGAATTGCCCCGTTAAACTTCTACATTTTCCAAAGGTAAATCTTACCTTGTTCTGCCTTTTCCTTGACTCTGATGTTGAGAGTCAGGCAGCGTCACTCCAGATCTCAAGATCCTCCTCACTAAGTAATCTGGGAAAAGCCATTAGAAGGAGTTTCATTCTCTTGCCTGATCATACCGTCCAAAAGTGGGTCCCACTGCCCATATATAACAGTTGGAATGGCATATAACCGAGCTTGCCTATAACGCACCTGATTTATGTCTGTTGTCCCCCTGAGATTAATGGCATTTATTTTCATTCTCAAAATGTCCCTTTTGGATGATAGTGCTTTTGTTTTTGCTTTTTAATGTGGTTGTGCTAGTCACAGGGTATGAAAAGAAGGAACTGAGTCTCTGGCAGTCTAACCTTACATTCTTTTTTGTCACCACAGCTCCATTCGGCAGCCCTGGCATCACTAAAGGGAGATATAGTGGAGCTTAATAAACGTCTGCAGCAAACAGAACGGGAGCGAGACCTTCTGGAAAAGAAATTGGCCAAGGCACAGGTAAGGAGCTAGAAAGGTTTATTTTTGTTTAACTTTTTAAGGTAAAACATAGAAATAGAAATTCCTACAAAACAAATTACAGCTTAATGAGCACATACTCTGTCTTGGTCTACTCCGGCTGTTATGGCAAATACTATAGACCATGGCAAATACTTAAACTGCAAACATTTATTTCTCATGATTCTGGAGGCTGAAGGTCCAACCAAGCTCAAGATGTTCGCCAGTTGGGTTCCTGGTGAGGGCTGTCTTCCTGGTTTGCAGGTGGCCACCTTCTCACTGTGTCCTCATATGATGGAGAGAATAAGATCATCTCAGTCATTCTCATCATTTAAGGGCACTAATCCCATTTGCAAGGGGTCCACCCTCATGACCTAATTACCTCCCAAAGACCCCACCTCCAAATATCATCACATTGGGGGTTTTAGGCTTCCACTTGTAAATTTGGGGGAACACAGGCATTCAGTTTATAGTACACTCTAACAACCACTCCCTAAATCAGGAAATAGAATTTGCCAGTCACCCCAGAATCTCCTCCTTGCATCCCATCCTGGTTTTCACACTTTCTCTCCCACAAATGTAATCACTACCATGATTTTTATAGTAATGTTTCTTGTTCTTTACAGTTTATCACTCAAGTCTGCATGCTTAGACAGTAGCGTTTTAGGCTTACTCATTTAAAAAAGGATATTTGCTTTAAATCTCTGAATCTATGGGTTTTTCTTCCATTCTCTGTTTGCTTTCTGAATGTTAAACCCAGCCATGTCGTCATCAATAACTGAAAATTAACACCAGGTGCTGGAGAGGATGTGGGGAAAAGGGAACACTTCACTGTTGGTAGCAGTGTAAACTAGTACAATTTCTGTGGAAAACAGTGTGGTGATTCCTAAAAGATCTAAAAATTGACCTTCCATACAACCCCACAATACCCCTACTGGGAGTATACCTGGAGGAACTCAGATGACTATGAAAAAGATACCTGCACACACATGTTTATTGCAGCATTATTCACAACAGCAAAAACATAGAACCAACCATGCTGCCCATTGAAATAGGACTGGATGTTTTAAAATGTGGTACATATACATGATGAAATATTATGCAGTCATAAAGAAGGACAAAATTATGAACTTTGCAGCCACTTGGATGGTCACAGGAGCTATAATACTGAGTGATCTATCACAGAAACAAAGAACCGTGTTCACACTCATAAGTGGAAATTGAACAACTATTGTAATACTATAAGAAAGGGATTGGCAGGCTGGGCATGGTGGTCAAGCCTGTAATCCCAGAACTTTGGGAGGCTGAGATGAGATGATTGAGCTCAGGAGTTCAAGATCAGCCTGGGCAACTTGGTGAAACCTCATCTCTACAATAAATCAAAAAATTAGCCAGGCATGGTAATACATGTCTGTAGTTCCAGCTACTTGGAAAACTAGGGTAGAAGGATAGCCTGAGCCCAGCAGGTCAAGGCTGTGGTGGCCATGAGCGTGCCAGTGCACTCCAGCCTGGACGATAAGTGAGATTCCAACTCAAAAAAAAAAAAAAAAATTGTTGAGAGACTGAGGTGAGAGAATTGCCTGAACTCACGAGTTCAAGACCAGCCTGGGCAACTTGGTGAGACCTCATCTCTATGATAAATAAAAAAAAAAATTAGCCAGACATGGTGGCACACAACTGTGGCTCCAGCTTTGGGAGACTGAGATGGAAGGATCACCTGAGCCCAGTAGGTCGAGGCTGTGGTGGCTGTGAGTGTACCACTGCACTCCAGCCTGGGCGACGGAGTTGAGACTCCAACTCAAAAAAAATAAAAAAATAAAAAAATAAAGAATTTATTTAAAAAAAAAAAAGGGATTGGCAGTAGTGGGACACTGCCAGGGGAGGGTGGGGGAGGATTAGCAGTAGTGGGAAACTGTGGCAGGGGGCACACCTCATCAACAAGGATACCTGCATAGTGAACATTTGTATACCTAACCCCGAACTGGACCCCACATCTTTAAAATTAAAAATTAAAAAAAAAAAAACCTGGCCTTGTGACCCACAGTTTCCCACAGTCTGGATGTTGCTGATTGCACACATGTGATACAGGTCACCACCTTCCTGTGCTCCCTGTATTCCCTGCAAATTGGCAGCTGGATCCAGAGGCTCAGTCAGAGGCATGTCCAGTCCCTTTGGCAAGAGGTTTTTTGTTTGTTTTTTACCAGAAGGCATGGAATGCCTAGTTGTTTATCTTTCTGTGATGTTAGCAGCTGTTGATACTCAATGCTTAATTTTATTACTTCATTAGGACTTTAAAAATCATGATATTTTAGTTATGTTTCTCACTTATTAATTAGAGTGCTTATATAAAGGCATTTCCCCTCACCTACTATTTGTTGAAACAATGTTATAGTTCACAGAGTAAAAGCTGAATAAACCCTTGACTCGGTTCTTTGTGTTTCTTTAACATTTTTCAAGATAATGGCTGATTTCCTAGGATCCTCTGAATGTGTCCACTTATTTTTTAGATATCTTATTATGAATTTATATGTTTAAACATATTTGGGTTCAGTCCGTTATAATTACTTTCCTTATAGAAACAAGTTATGAGCCAGGCTCAGTGGCTCAGCCTGTAATCCCATGCCTTTGGGAGGCTGAGGTGAGTGGATTGCCTGAGCCCGTGGGTTCGAGTCCCGCCTGGGCAGCGAGACCTCATCTCTACAATAAATCAAAAAAATTAGCCGGGCATGGTAGCACGCGCCTGTAGTTCCAGCTACTTGGAAGGCTGAGGCGGAAGGATCGCCAGAGCCCAGCAGGTCGAGGCTGCGGTGGCCGGGAGCGGCCACTGCACTCCAGTCTGGGCAACAGAATGAGACTCCAACTCAAAAAAAAAAAGAGACAAGTTATACTATCTGTAGTCCACGAGAGCTTCTTCGGGTTGGCTCCTGATTCTTTTGATGTAAGGTTAGTAGTTATTCCTGGCTCCTGTAGTATCTTGCCTCAAACCTGGAATGAGCCATTCTCCAAGTAGCTGTAGTTTTCTTAGCCGAGGATGATATTTCAGGACCACAATCTGGATACTAAGGATGCTCATTGCTTCTAGGTTGTTCGTTGTTTTTAGACCTCTTTTGTAGGCAGAGCCAGGAAATTATTTATTTACTTATGTACATAGGTATGTATGCATAACATTTAAGATGTGTGTAAAATTTAAGATAAAATACCCTAGGAACTTATACCAATACCATCAATTCAAATTCAGATTACAGGGTATTTTTACTTAAAGTCTCTATTTCATCTATATCTCCTTTCTTTCACACTAAAAATATCCTGGTTCTCAGGGTTACAAGGGATTATAGAATTGGAATATTCCATAATCAGTCATTTGCTCTGTCCTACATTATATACAGTCTCAGAAAAATAGTATTAATACTACCATAACCAATGTAGTTACTGAGAAAAGTTTAAAAAATTCTTTTTCCACGATGTTCTCCTCATTCTCTCAGCTTGTCACAGTTGACCTATATCAGTACTGCCTAGCCATATGGCCATTGAGTTGTGAACACTCTGCCTTCTGGTCATCGTGTGGTCCTCTACAAATAAATATATGTTCACCATGGCTCATATGTCAGTGTCGCTTCATTTGTAATTAATTTTTCCCCCTGAAGCTTATTTTCTAGTAGAGTCCTCAGAAAGGACTCATGGGAATAATTTCCCCAAGTTCTTGCATGTTAATAACAGTGTATCTGTGTCCTTCATACTTGAAAGGCATTTTGCTAGCTATAAAATGCTTGGCTCATCTTTTCTTTCCTTGAATATATTGCTTTATTTTTTTCTGCAGAGAGTGGTGCTGTCAAAGTGTGATGATAATCTCACTTTCTCTCCTTTATAAGACACTTGCTTACTCTAGATAGTCAAAGGATTTTTCTTTTCTTTTGTCTCTTCTTCCTTTTCTTTCTCTCTGTCTGGTCATTTTACTAGAGTAAGTCTTAATCATTCTAGTTTGATAGTCTTGGGTTTGCTTGTATTTTTTTGATTATATTTTGAAATATTTTTTTAATTTCAGGGAAGTTTTAAAAATTTCATTGTTGAATATTATTTTTGTTCTCTTGCTTTGATTTTTCAAGGACTTATTTGTATGGTAAGTCATCTTTACCTATCTTAAATATTTGTCACTATTTTCGATCCTTTATTTATCTCCCCTTTTAAATTTTTTTTCCATCTTTTGTTTCTCTTGGGGAATTATGTTTTTAGTTACTCTTTTGTGCCTTGTAATCTTCATTTCTGAAATACACTTTTTGTCCTTTCAAATTTATTTTTATTAGTAAAATGCATTTTTAATCCTTTTCTGTATTCTATTACCTTACTTCTGAATTTTTCAAATTCCTAATTATGTTCTTTTATGTCTCATGTCTTTCAGTTTATTTCAAAATAGCAGGCTGTTTGGGGAGTTTCGTTTTATTTGTTTTCTGTTTTTGTTTTTAGAGATACAGGGTCTCGCTCTGTTGCCCAGGCTGAAGTACAGTAGCAGATCATAGCTCACTGGAACCTTAAATTCCCATGCTCAAGCAATCCTCCCACCTCAGCCTCTTGAATATCTAGGGCTGCAGGTGCACACCACCACAACCGGCTAATTTTTTTTTTTTTTTTTTTTTAAGGAACGGGATCTTGCTATGTTGACCAGGCTGGTCTCGATCTCCTGGCCTTAAGCGATCCTCCCACCTCAGCCTCACAAAGTGCTGGGATTATAGACATGAGCCATCATGCCCAGTCATATTTTTTATTTTTGTGTGAAAAATAGTTTTCTTAAATTTTTAGGAGGCAGGGTTTGAGATGGCTTTTTGGTTCAGAGCTTAGCCTTCTGTTGTTTCCTTTTTTTTTTTGTCCGAGTCTCACTCTGTTGCCCAGGCTAGAGTGCAGTGGTATGCTTATGACCACTACAGCCTCTACCTGTTGGACTCAGGTGATCCTTCTGCCTCAGCCTTCCAAGTAGTTGGAACTACAGGTACATTCTACCATGCCCAGCT